TTCCTATGCCTATCCTAGGAGACTAAGGGAAGTCCTGCCTATCCTATACCTATCCTACGGCTATTGTCAATCCTGATCCTATCCCTATCCTAGGAGTCCTATCCTAAGGGACCAGTATAAATTACACAACTAATGAACTAAGCACGAGGGAGCAGCGTGATGTGCGACAGAACTACTGTTAACACGAGATCCATAGCATGACTTCACTGTTGAGTAATCAGCTAAAATGGACGAAACCAAGCAGTTGCCTGCAATCCTTGATAACGGTTGGGGGCTTTCCTAGCACAAAAGTTCTTGTCTCGTATGCTATCGCTGGCATTTTTTTGGCACGCTAAACATGCCAGATCAAGACAAAAACAGACAATCATTAACGAAATATGTCATCGGGCTTTCGTCAGGTTTCATCGTCCAGGATATCACAATGAAACCACTGCATGATGCAGCTCGCTCCCTGTGTCTCAACGCAGTTAGTACAACCCTGCCACCACAAGAACTATTAAAACTATTTAAAAATTACGCCGAGACTAATTATAAACTTACTCAAAGTTCATCTCCACATGAAGACAGTGGCAATCGGTGGCGCCACCTGTGACATGTATTTACCATCGTGGCTGCAGCATATATCTACACCTGAGAATTTAAAATTAGAAGGCAATGATTGTACGATACAAAGTCTATTGCAACGATTATTAAACTAAAGATTTCGTTCGAAAGGCATTTAGAAAAAATGATATAAATCACTCATGTTATTGATTTAATTACATTTAATTTAGTTACTAGTTTTGCTTGCTGCATTTCCACGATATTGCCTAGGGTATTCCAACCGCACACACGCACGCAGCATACACGCACCACACAACATATATATATATATATATATATATAGTACATATGTCATACAAACAACCAAAAAGTATTTGCTAGACTAGCTTTGTTCCATCACTTTAAGTAGGTTTGTTTTAAAATAGGTTTGATTATTTTATTATAATTATTTGTTTTATCGAGTTATAATAAATTGCTACAACATACACAACAAAAGCATGAAAGTTTTGAGAAAACAAGGTAATGTTCATACATTTACTGGTACATTTAGAACATATTCTTCAGCTTTATAGGATTAATTTATTGCATCACAATTAAATCTACCCACTCCAAGATGTGTCGTAACAGTTAATACCTTAATTATATACTCGCGTAAATAACCACATATTTGGCCTCAGATTTTAACCCTGTAATTGCTCTGCGGATTATAAGTCGCATACGTGAGCGGGAATATACTAGGCGCAATACTTGGGTTAACCCGATTCAAATGAGGTGCGGCTAATAGGCGCCCGCGGTTATTAGCCGTCATATACGGGTAGTTGTAGTCTCAACAGCACACGCACAGCGTGTAGGTTTGTATATTGACACCACGTAACTCACATCGCCCGGGTGTCCAATGACTGCCAGCGAGTTATGAGGGTTGACAATCCAGCCGGCAGCTTCAGCAATCCGACCCTTGTCTGCAAGTTTCTTGTTGAGCGGCGTAGAATCTTTTCTGCCGAGAATTTCCTTGTCGATGAATTAATGCGAAGGCTGAAAAAAAAGGAGTATTTTGGTCGACTGCTCTGCGAAAAAAATCTTAAGCAATAGATAGGGCTGTTAAGCAGGTTACACAACGCGACACGCGTCCAGCAACTGCTATTAACATACCGATGACATGCCTTGCGATTTCTCAGGCGTTGTGACACGGTAACAACTGGCATCGAGACGGATTACTAAAGTTGCCAGCATTAATTCCCAATGTTGCTATCAAAACGCGTAAACCCGTTATAACGAAAACTTCCAATGACCGTTTTGTGCTGAATTGGTATCACAGCTTACACGCCAAGTTCGATTTAGCATTGGGGTGTGAGTTATGGAAGCGTTGAAATTATTGAAGTGTGGCAACACTTCATAAATAAACGCTTGTAAATGCTACCATTACCGTTTTATTGCAAAAACTGTCTCGCTTAAATTCATTTTCGATAGCACACCAAGATTAACAGTATCTGAATCTGTGTTTTTATGCCACTTAAGTCTCATTACCAAAGATCTCATACATTCGCATGATTTTGTTATAGCAGCCCTGCGACAGCAAACAAAAACTTTGCCCCACGGTTTTTGCTAGTTTTAGTTAAATAGCTATATGCTACAATACTATCAAACCAGAATCGGTGTGAATAATACGACTAGCCTATACGCAGCACATGTTCAGACGTGTTAGACTACCATTGCAAGGAGCTTCCATAGCTTGGACCAAGCAACTGTCTTTCTGCACATCTTGGTCGTGTGTTGTATAGCTTCATCTTGAACTGTGACGGGTTAAGGCAGAGCCTCGAGTGACAAGCCTGCATATACGTCGCGTCAGCGTGCGCGAAATACTGATCGCGGTCTGTCTCGTACATTGATGTGTTAGAAACAATTATTTCTTACTGAATTCTACTTATTTTACACATGGAAATCACAAGTAAATGTGAGTAACTGTATGGTACATTCGACTACCTACAAAGATGTTGTGTAAAAAGCAATAACTGAAGTGTGTTAATCCATGCATACCAGAAGCTGCTATTCGATTTTATACAATAAACTTAATCACACTCATAGTGCACACGGACACAAATGTGACATAATGATTGAGTACAGCCAGTTGCCAGTTTCAGCTTCACGAAGGGATTTCAGCATTCTACGTTCTAGGACCTGGTTGTTTGCGGTCTAGCAATGGAGTCTCGCTCGGTGAAGTGCACGCGGGTACACGCCATACAACGGTTTGGCACAGACGTGTTCCTTTGCTCAACCTTCTCGCTGCTCTTGACAAGTGTTGATCATTCTTGCCAGTTTTTTTTCTGCTTTTTCTTTACTTCCCAAACAGTCGTATTCAACCTGCAGACATCCAAACAAAACGCTCCATGTATATCATTAGTCGGGATTACCTGGATGTCTTCGGTATCGACCATAGCGACTAGCTGGACAACTTGCAGAGGGTGGCCCGGGGAAGGGTATCTGTCGGGACGGAGGGGGAGGAGGGTCGATGAGGTGGTCGGCCCCCCCCCACCCGCCGCGGAAGTGTTGAGACACGGTTTTGCGTAGTGGCCACAGCGCTGCCCATCTTTCACGTGTTCCCTTCCCACGATATGATCCTGACCACACGCGGGGCAAGTTTGGGGCGGTGGTTTCCGTCGAGACACAACTATATGTCGGCGCATAGGCGGCATCGCGCCCTGTGTACGCCGGCCGCTCCTGACGCATACGTGAATACGCGGCGTATAATCGCTCTATACACACCACAAGAAAGATAGCCGGCATTGCGAGCAGGAAAAACGAGCACGTCGCTCACCAGACCCTGGTCCTTACCCGAACCTAGCGAATCAGGAGCCGAGCGCCGAACTTGCGAATCTGGCTTACACGGCCGAACGCATATCTGGCAGAGGTTGTAGGGCGGGCCCGTCTCTGGTGGC